CCACCCGTCTCCTCTAAACCCAATCTATCCTACTTTTCTTTTCTAAACCCAGTCCATCCACCCTGCCCCTCTAAACCCTATCCATCCTACTTTTCTCCTCTAAACTAAATCTTCCCACCCTTCTCCTCTAAACCCAATCTATCCTACTTTTCTTTTCTAAACCCAGTCATCCACCCTGCCCCTCTAAACCCTATCTATCACACTTTTCTCCTCTTAACCAAATCTTGCCACCCTTCTCCTCTAAACCCAATCTATCCTACTTTTCTTTTCTAAACACAGTCCATCCACCCTGCCCATCTAAACCCTATCCATCCTACTTTTCTCATCTAAACTAAATTCATCCCACCCTTCTCCTTTAAACCCTATTCATCCTATTTTTCTCCTCTAAACCATATCCATCCCACCCTTCTTCTCCAAACCAAATCTATCCTACTTTTCTCCTCTAAACCAAAGCCATCCCACCCTTCTTCTCTGAACCCTATACATCCTATTTTTCTCCTCTTTCTTTCTTTGGAACTGTAGCAAAGGGAAACTACTTATGTTTTTGAACATTTTTAACTTTAGTATTTTTTCGTGAAGCCGACCTTTCATTCTGCTCAAACTTTTTGAGCATGTCATGAATACTATTTGCGACTACTTTTACTTCATTTTTTCCCCGAAAAAAAAGGCTGTGAATCTTCTAGAGCTAAACCATAGGTTAAACGTCCTTCGCCGACTTTTAGGAAAAAATTTGCTAAACTTTGTTTTTCATTCTTAATTTAAATGTTTCAGAAAAAAATCGAAAAAAAAGTCAAAAATGACGTTTTTAGGACAAAAAAAACGCATTTGGAGTTCCAGATATATTTTATACCAATATGTATATGCATGTGTGACAGGATCTCAAAATTTCCTTTTATTTTCATCCAGTCATATTGATAAATATTTGCCATGCAGGTAGAAAATTATTTCGTATATCTGCATAAAAATAAACAAAAGAAAAAGTTTAAATGAACCAAAACAGAGTTCGACCTGTCTATGCGAAATTTTACATTGTTAGCCAACAATGCTGTTTTAATTAAATCTTATTTAATTTTTATATTTTACCAGTTCAAATATAGATCAGACACGTGAGCTTAAGAAATCTTTAACATCTTGGTGCTACTTATGTTTTTGAACAATTTTAACTTTGGTATGAAGCTAACATTTTTTGAGCATGTCTTTGACACTTTTTCCGACAACTTTTATTTTAATTTTTTCCAACCAAATAAAAGCCTCCATAGATATAAGAGCTAAAACCATGGCTTAAACGTCCTTCCACGACTTTTTGAAGAAATTGAGATTTTTTGTACATAATATAAAACATTCAATCAATAACAGTTAATTTTTATTTCTTTTAAAATTTACATAGTAAAATACTAAAATTTACATATATTGAATTTGAACAATCAGACCAAAAAATTGAAAAATATTGACATATTAATTACAATTTTTCCAAAATTTATAAAAATAACAGTTTTAAAATTTACAAATTTAAAATTTAAAAGAATGCTAATTCAGATTTATAAATGTATTAGGAATTGGTTCACTGTAGTTGTTTTTATCAATTATTAAAGAAAATTACCCTTTCACAAAAAATCACCCCAGGCCCACCATTTAACAAGAACTTAATATTTTTTAATTTGGTAAAAATAAGATAATCTTCGTATGCACAATTTTGTAAAAAGGTCTACAGACTTGCTTATAATAGGATTTTCAAGATTGAGATTATTTCTGATATCTACGTACAATATCCGATTCAATGAGTCTAATGTTCGACTTGTAGATCTAAGTAAGAAGTAAAGGATAATCTCCGTTTGAATTTTATAAATATTCTACTCTATAGTAAACCACACTGACCTGTATTTGAAGTATTCTATCCTCAACTAAGGTTCTATACTCTACAGTAAACCACACTAACCTGTATTTGAAGTAGTCTATCCTCAACTAGGATTCTCTACTCTACAGTAAACCACACTAACCTGTATTTGAAGTATTCTATCCTCAACTAGGGTTCTCTACTCTACAGTAAACCACACTAACCTGTATTTGAAGTATTCTATCCTCAACTAAAAAAAATGTTAAGAACTGTAAAACTGTGGAGTAAGAAGACAATATTTAAACTTTTTAGGTTACCTCTTATTTCTTAACTCTACAAGCATATAATTGAGCTCATTGAATCGGAAATTGTATGTAGAATTCAAAAATGGTCTTAATCTTGAAAATCTGATTACAAACAAGTCTGCATAGACCCTTATGTGCAAACAGAGATTATCTTTATTTACTCACTCCAATTGGAAACTTTAGGAGCCTTTAAAATTGTCATTTTTAGATCTACAAGCCTAAATTTAGTCTTTTTGAATTGGAAATAGATTTTTAAAATGGTCTCAATCTTGAAAATACGATTACAAACGAGTCTGTGTATCCTTGTTCCCCGTTTTTTGAGACACCTTGTAGTATAAGAGACCTTGAGAATACTAAACTCAACCTTCTCTCAGGTAACTAACACTCAAGAGATACAGTAATTTAAAAACCCGTAGAATACTGAACCCAACCCTGTAAGCAATATTTTTACCCACAGCCAAATTGATAAAAACACTACGATCCTGTTTTTTATTTCTGGATTCAAGCTCCAGTTTAGCCGTCCTTATCTCCCTAACATTCTTCAGGATTCCACTGAAGAAGTCTGAAAATATAATATTTTAGAATAAAACTCTACTAGGTTAAATAAAAATATTTTCACATAAAAATATAAGAGTTGGGGGGGGATTATTTTACCAGGCAATAAACGAGCTTATTATTGCAGAGTTACTATTTTTTGATGAAAAACAAGAACTTGAAGAATAAATTTTCAATGTGCACTTACTTTTGATGCGTTTCCAGTTTTCCTGACTCTCATCCCACTCGTTTTTCTTCATCCATTCATAGATGTCTGTCTTACAAGGCATAGAAGGCTTCCACAAGTCCTTCTTAAAATCGTTCCTGAACAAAAACGTTAATTAGTACTTAAAAATGACCAGTCAAAGAAGGCAGTGCTTAAGATCAGTTTCATTCCAATGGAGATCCAGAGCCATCTCATTGATATTTCTTTACGATTTACTAATTTCTATAAAAAATATTTTTTTTTTAATTTCTTTTTTATTTATGTTTTTTTTGGGCTGAAACTAGAGAAACCATTCAGAGATCAAGAAGGTTTTTATAAAAACTTAATCCCATTCATGCGTGCAAGCCATAAATCAGAGAGAAAGCTGTAAAAATGCAGTTAAATTTAGACATTTTCTTAATAACAAGAATGTTTGACCTCCGGGGTTGAAGTTAGTAGAGAAATTTTTTGTTGTAAATCCTAAAATTTTTAGTTAAAAAAAAATTATTAGCTAACAATTACTTTAATCTGTTTTTCCAGACATCCTTGATTCTGTTCTTTTCATGGTCCATGGGCGAAATTGTGATAGTTTCATCTATTTTGGCAAGCTTAGCAGGCGTGGTGTGGTATGGCAGAGCTCTACCTCGTTTTCTCTGAAACATTTTGACGGTTTTAACAAAAAACTTTATTATTGGGAACAGGGGAAAATATTTTAAATTCTAGTGCCCCCCCCCCCCGGAATTGAAGAAAAGCGGGATTTTATTTTAAAAATATAAGGAAAAAGTTTTAAATCTTCTATTAAATTAAAATACAGGCGATGTTAAAAAATATGACTAATTCAATCAACAAACTTTTAATCTTTAAATGACAGAGATATTCTTCTTTTCCAACTATTTAAACTGAACCAGGGATATTCATCCTTAAATATTGACTTCAATGAACAATATTTTTATTATTATAAAAATATCAAAAAACAGGCAAACCCTTTTATTCTAGCAACAAGACATTATACATGCTAAAAATGAACTAAATTTTGACCCAAAAAAAATTATTTCGAATATTTTCTTAAGATCATTGTGTAAGCATACCGGTGTTTTCAGGATACCACTGAGTCTCTGCTGATCTTCTATTTCCCAATCAGAATCCGAACAGGAATCCTAAGAGACAGTACGGTTTAAACACATGATTATTTAAATTGACAGCTAACTGGATTAAATAACTCATGGAGGCTGATTTCCAGATGATAGCCTAATACATAAACTACTTGTGTGAATAAATATCAACATTACATAAATCATTGCTTCCGTCTTGATACTAGTTACTAACTCCCTTGATAAGTCAAATTACCCCAGTCGTTTTTTACTTTCTCTAATCGAGTACGTACCAGAACATCTTTATCAGTATCTGGCTCCCCCATATCCACCAGAAAATCTTCATTTACTCCCTCTTCATCAGTATTTGACTGATCAGTATCCTTAAAATAAAAGTATAAATATTTAAAGAATTAAGTATTTTGTGGCAAGAAACTTGCCACAAATTATGAAAAATTAATAAAATAAAGAATAAAGTATAGAAATTGATCTATGAAGTGTAGAATAAAATCTAAATTAGTTTTAAACTAACAAAAATGTTTGATATATATTCTAAATACATATGATAACACAAAGTTATACCGAAATAAATATTTTAGATTTTGATTTATTTTAGATGGACCTAAAAAATCATTTTGGTCAGTTTATACGTTTGAAGATTTTTTTCTATCACTCTGATCAATCACAGGGTTAAATTTTTAATCAAGGGTTAAGTTAATACCCTCCTCGGCTAAACCATAGTTTAAGCTTAATCATTGGTGGATTTTGTATTTTGGATTTTGGATTTTGTACGAGTTCCTTGAAGTTTGAGATAAGAACATAATCCTTACTTTGTCAATAGAATCTTTATCTTCAGATGGGCCTGGCAAATGCATTTGGCAACAGTGGTTTCCCTAAAATTTTTTTTTTACATTGTTAATTCAAATGTAGTAATTATGTGAAAACATGTTTAATCAAGTATCAAATGTTCTAAGCTTAAATTCCGGAGAAAGTAGAGAATTGATTACAAAAATTTATGTGAAGGGGAAAAAAACTTGTATTAAATTTATACCATGTAGATATGAAACATTGAGCTTTGAAATTTAATCATTTGATTGAGAAAATTACAGAATTCTCATAACGTCAAAGATGTAAATTTTCATAAAAATTATTCACACCATCCTCAAAATTTATCCCCCCTCCCTTCAGATGTTAGGCATGTTTGCGCGGAAGGAAAGTTAATTTAAGGTTTGCCAAATTGGGACAATAAATAAATTTTAATGGAAAATAAATGAGTATTTTATAGGAAAATTTGAAAAAGGATAAAATCGCTTGTTTTTAGAAGTTTGATTTTAAGCTTTTTCTTCATAGCATCGAAAACCATTTGGCCCCCCTTGGTTGTAATTGTTCAAAATATATACCCCAAAATTAGGTTTAAGATATACCTGAATTTGTTTGTTTTGGATACTGCGAACATGTATGGGTTGTTGGCTATGGCATCTGGTTTTCTTAGTTTGTAGAGAGCTTTGAACGCCCGTGTTTCTAATTCTCCTACGAAGACCTGATTTGGATCACAGTTCTTTCCAGGGACCAAGATATTCCAAAATTTTTTGGATACTTCTTCTGCTTCTGGGTCATCTCGGAAAAGAACATCCCAAAGGACATCATCTTTGTCAAACTCTAGTGCAGCTTTCTTGGCCTGAAGCAAATATCAACTGTAAACACAACAAAGAAAACAGGATAAAATTTGGCTTTGGTAACATTAGAGGTAAAATTCGCCTTGAAATTATAAATTTAATCATGACAGAGAAAGAATTGAAAAAATATTCTACTAGCTGAAGTTATACAAATTATAGTTAATTCTGCAAAAACCAAAATGTGAAAAACACTCGGTATTTTTTTGATAATGAAAAATAGGAGGAAACTGAACAAAAATTACAGGAATCTGTAGCAAAAATTAAGAATTTAAAAGATTTTTTTATAAATGTGGAAACGGATCAGAGGATAAGAAATATGAAGAAACCGACAAGAAAAGATTAAACTTATTAGGTATGCCTCAACAATTGTAAACTTGAGGTATTTCCTTGAATTTCTAAGATAAAATGAAATTCCTCAAAAGTTATTTTCGATCCGTTTCTATGTTATGGCGTTTTTGTGTTCTTTGGTCTCCATGTCACTCATTTGTATTGCAGGAAACAAATGAATCATTAGAAGTTTTGACTTTTGAAAAAGAAAAACAGAAAATGATCCACGTTTTAGATCATATAATGATTTACATTTTCACATTGAAAGTCACTTACAGAAGGCTTAAGTTAATTGAAGTTAAGTTTTTTAGTAGGCTTTAGATTGACATAATCTTTAATAAGGGAGTTGTAAACCTTGGTTGACTCCTCAAACAGTGTTATCCGAATAATGATCAAGGACTTGAGAAAGACTAGCTTTGTAAAAATTTTACACTACTTGAAATTGCGATTAAGGTAACCTTAGTTTCAATATCAGCTCAGGGATAAAATAAACATGTCCATGCATACCTTTTCAAATTGATCCCAAGTAAGTGCAGCCACATCGTTGCCTCTAAAAAAACACAAGATTATATCAATTTTATTAAATAACATCCTGAAAACCCAGTCCGGTCAGGATGAATAATTGGAAGGATTAAATTCAGAGAACCTGATGATAAATAGCAATCCAGGGAAACGCAAGAAAAAGGATTAAATCAAGTGAGAACCAAGATAGACCACAGTAACAATGGAAAATTCTAAGAACCTTGAGTAAGAATTAAATGAATAGGAAACCAAAATTAAGGGTGTATCAATGGATGAGTAATGATGATTCTTAAGTTAAAACCAAATTTGGGTAGATCAATGTGAGAACCTGGATTTAGGATTGATCCTTAATCTAAGTTCTCCCTTGGATCGATCCATTCTGCATTTTACTCTTGGATTGATTTATCTGTAACATCGATCTTAATTCAATCCTTACTCCAGGTTCAGACATACTCTCATCCATACTCAGAAGTTTCCTTAACATTCATTCTTACAAAAGATTACACCTGTAATATCTCTTCCTTCATGTTTTATTATTATCCTATTAATTTACAGAATCTCCGATTTCAACCTTACTTCAGAATCTAACACATATTAATCCTATCTCTCAGATCATTTTTAGAATCATATCAACTGAACACTCTCCCGTGGATCCAGCCCTACTACACGTTCTTCCTAGAATCTATCAATACTTTGAATTGTCACCTGAATCAAACCTTACCCTTTGTTTCCCCTGAAGCCTTATTGCTTAGGGTTTGCAGCTACTTACAACCTTACACATAGGAATGAAAGTACGTCAGGGACTGGAGAAAATATTAAACAGAAGGAAAACCCTGAGTACGGATGGACCTATGAAGTATGCAAAAATCTTGGATAATGATGGGATTAGGGAAAAAGCATTAAGTGAAAGGAATCCTTCTGTGAACTCTTATTACTCAAACCTCTTGCTTTTAATCCATCTATTAAATTATCCATAAAATAAATTATCACATAAATCATTTCTAACTGTGGGATCTCCTTCCAAAAAAGAACCATAATAAGGACTGATTAAGAATTTATCTGAAGGAAAACATGAATTTATGATGATTTAAAGAAGAACCCAGAGATAGGATAAATGTAAGAAAGAATGTCATGCAAAGATGAATTCAAGAGTCAATTGTAAAGTAAAAAACCATAGATTATTAAAAAAGTACTGGATCTCAGTAAAAACTTGGAAAAGGGTGAGATTAAAGGTACAACACAGGAGAAATAAATCCAAGGATAAACCCAGAGAAAATAATTATCTTAGCTCAACCATAGCTATAATAAATAAAAACTACCTTCTCCCTGACTGCATTGTCAAATATTGTTGAAGAGAACTGGTCAGATAAATATGCGAAGTCATGGACTGTGTTTCCTCATATTCTTTTGTATACTTCACCATCATACCTCTGAGGGCATTAGTGACCGTCACAATCTGCAATATTTTCACTTTTACCGAGCCATCAAATTTACAAGTATATTATTGAAATTTTGTCATCAAACTGATGATAGAGGCAATAATTGTCTAATTTTAACTACCAACATAACTAGGGTATATATTATATAAAATACATTTTTAAGAAAAACATTACCCTTGAAGGTGTGGGAAGCAAAAAATGAAAGATAATATAAAAATGAAGTTTCATCCTATTAAATAATTTTTAAAAAAATCATTCCTTCTTCTATAAACATTATCTATTTTCCCTAATCCCGCAAATAAAAACTTAAAAATATATTTGGCCACTCCTCCCAAGCATAAAAATGTACATCACTGAAACTGAATTTTAAAAAATTAAGTTTTAATTATGAAAATAAATTTACCAAGTTAAAAAACACATCTAAGCTCTTTAAATTACACATGCTTACCACAGACTTCTTTGGAGCAGAGGATCCTTTATTAAACCTTTCCATCTGGAGTTCTCTTTTAAATCTTTTCTTAACATCCTAAAAAAAAGTTTGTAGCTTTCACTTAAAATTTCAGTAATTTCTGAAAAAGAGTATCTAATCAGCTAACAATTTCCAGCATTACCATTCAACCCTTATGGCCAACAGCCTGACAAGTAGTGTTTAGGATCCTTATAATTTTAAAGCCGACGCAAATCTGGATTCTGGATCCGCACTTGTAGGATCCTTTTAATTTTGTAGCAGAAACAGATTTGGATCCTGGCTCCCCACTTATTTCTGTCGCTAATTTTTATGCTAAAACTTAATGAATCATATCTTTTGTTAAAGTTCAGATTTTGGGTTTGAGAGTAAAATTTTTTTTTTTTGGTTGATTTTGGCGGATATTCCTTCTTGTATTTACTAGTAAAGAAATTTAAAGATCAATAAATGAAACTGAAGAAATAATATTTTACTAACCTTGTACCACCATTTCCTAATGTGATCCGAAAAGGTCTCTATCCGTTTTATCATTTTCAGACTACCGTTTGCCTCTCTTAAGGTTTTAAGAGCCACTGCTGACAAGCAGCTCATAGCAGCTGGGAGAGTCTTCCACGCTTTCTTTGCATCCAATGGGGCACTTGTTTTTCCTTGCCCCATTAATTTCAGCAGAGAATAGTGTTTCATGTCCAGCATGTCAAGAGCAGTGTTCTCATTTGATGTAAGGATTTGAAAGCAGTGCAGGAATCTGGCTAAATTTCTAAATTTCCCCATCACTCTCTTCTCATCAATATCTCTACAGGAGTCCAGCTCGATTCTCACACATTCTAAGATTGTTGGGTCGCTTGACCCACATTTCCAGATGTCATCTCTGATTTTCCCATTGAAGAGTTTTTTAATCTTATCAGGGAATACACATGCATTATCACTTCTTGTGAGGTTCACAAATACCGCTTTTATGTCTGTAGGATTTTCTGTGCAATACTTGGCTAAGTGTTGTTTTAAGCAACTTTTCTTCACAGCAACTCCACAATGGCATTTGACTTTACTCTCATCTGCTGAACCATTGTACTGCCAGTTTTCTTTTAATGATTTCCACGCTTTATCGTATTTAAGTTGGTGACATGGAAACGCCTCAACACGGAAACGACTCAACACGGAAATGCCTCAAAAAAACAGAATCATAAAACTAATTTAATGTCGTCTTCTAACATTAAAAAAAAATTAACAATTATTTTACCATTAATTTAGGGTAAGTTAGGTTGCGCCGCAGGCTAAAAAGGGGGCCGAGCGCTGCGGCTAGGATGGCTATAAGGGGGCCGAGCGCTGAGACTAGGACAGGCTAGGGGGCCGTGCGCTACGTCTAGAACAGGCTAGGAGACCGAGCGCTACGGCCATGGCTGTGAAAATCAGTAGAATATAGTCTTTTTAATTCTAAGTTGAGAGAAGACGACATTAAATTAGTTTTATGATTCTGTTTTTTTGAGGCATTTCCGTGTTGAGTCGTTTCCGTGTTGATGCGTTTCCATGTCACCATTTAAGTTTAGGAAGTTTCACCATTTCCTGAATGAAAGGTTCATCTGTATGGTTTCTCAAGACATGGCGCTCGATGTGACTGAACCTTTCATGGCATATACCGCACATCAGAAAACCTTTCTTGTGTTTCTTTTCTGATTTCTCAACCTTCCCCGGGACTCTCTGGATGACGGAGGGTCTCTGAAATATTTTAAAGTGAGGCTACTTGTTGAATTCATTTATATGTTATAGGGACTTTAGCCATAGACTCAATTATAGTTTGTATATAAAACTTTGCGTTGCAGTAACAAAATAACAGGCAGAGAAGTGTCAATATTTTTTATACTATCAACCAGCAAGTGTTTAAAGGAACTGCTGTAAATGAGACATGCTCCTCTTTTTAAAGGGAATGACCAGCAACGTATAGTGGTTGAACTGAGACTGCAGTATTGTAGAGGAATTTTTTAGAATTCATTTGAGACATATAAAACGTTTTAATGATCTATAATTACTGGGTTTGAGCCCAAAGTCCACTTTCTAAATCATCTTTTTGGGTGGATAGATTTGAAGAATATTTTTTATTTATTAAATAAAGACGACCAAAAATGTAACAAATTATATGGTAAGCTTATTAGTTGTTTAGGAACATGTTGAGAAAATACAAATTAACTAGTATCATCAAAAACATGTAATTATATTCAATTATCAGTTTCTGAAATCTCTCAGTATTCACAAAGAACTTTTATAAATGAAAAGACGACATTTGAAACCAAAATATTTAATTCAATCATTGATTTCTTGACGAATTTCTTTTGAGAAATATGTTCCTAAACATCTCATTACTTTACTATGGAATTTTTACTTTATTTTTGGTCGTCGTTATTTAACAATAAAAAAACAATTCTCAACAGTTAACCCTCCAAAAAGATGATTTTAAACATTGACTCAAACTCAGTGATTATACATCAAAGAAACGTTTCATATGTCTCTAACAGTGCTTAGGATCTGGGTCCGGGTCAAGATCCGTTGGATCTGCAAGATTTTGGCTTCCTGGATCCGGATCCAGATCCGCAAAAATATGCGGATCCATGGATCCTGATCCAAGGGGTTAAATATCACCAAAAACTACAAAAGAACTTGTTTACTCCTAAAACCTAAATCTGAACTGTTGAAAAAAAAAAGATTATAAAACTTTCCTCATTTCTGAATAGTTCAAGTTGTAGGGATACAAATAAGCGAAAAAATAAAAATGTGAAAATTATTTGTTGAAAAAATTCAGTAAATCTTTACGAAATGACCTGGATCCGGATCCATTTCTTTTTCAATGCAGATCCGCATCAAATTAAAATAGATCCTAAGCACTGGTATTAAAGGAATCCTGAATTTTTCCACAATACTATATCTTCAGTTCAACAACCATACATAGCCAGTCACTCCCTTTAAGGTGAGGTTTACTTTTTTGACGCTCTGTGCTAGGATCCACATCAGTTGGATCCGTAAGATTTGAAGCTTTCTGGATCCGGATCCAGATCCGCAAAAATATGCTGATCGACAGATCAAGATATAAGGGACAAAATTTTAACCAAAAACAGTTAAAAATTTTTTTTAGTCTCAAAACCAAAATCTTAAATAATGAAAAAGAGATATTATAAAAATTTCCATTTTTAAAATTAAAAAATTAATACTTTAAGTATAAGTAACTAGTGGCCGAATTTAAAGAATTTAAACTGCGGTTTAAATTTAAGCCGCGGTTTAAATATGGTTGGTTCCACTTAAAATTGTATGAAATGTTTCAAGATTTAAGCCGGAGCTGAATTTAAACCGGGTTTTGGCAGATTTAAACCGCGGATCAAATTCTTTAAATTCCATGTTAGGACTAGGTCCTATGTTGGACTATGTTTTAGCATAAAAATAAGCGAAAAAATGAGACGACAAACTAGAAAATTCTTCTGTGTTAAAATTCATTAAATATTAAAAAATGACATGGAACAGGATCCATTTTTTCCAGAGCAGATCCAGAATCCGGATCTGTATCTAAATTAAATGGATCCTAAGCACTGTTCTAAAGAAAATATAATTTTTAGACAAGTACACCCCTGCTGCACATTTCTTTCTATTTCCATAGTCCTAAGGAAGACAGTTCTAAGGTTACCTGTTGAGGGATCTCATGGATTTCAGGTTGAGGGATCTGAGGGACGTCAGAATAAACAAGAGCGTTTAACTCATCCTAAACCAATCAAAAGTTAGTATATATAATGGTTATTGCATTATGGGTGGATTCTAATCCAATCATCATAAAATAACTCTTCTAGAAATTCGAAGACATGTTCAGAATATGTAGTATCCCAAAAAAATGTGCAGTATGGGTATTAGTTACTGGGGAAACTATTTGTGTATTTTTTACAATTAGCCATAGCTTACTTTTTTTTTCAATGCTAATTATATTTGCAACACAAAAATATATGCACGAGACAAGAAAAATCGAAAATTTTAAAAATCAGGGAAATTTATTTTCAAATTACTGAAAGAAAAACAAATTTTACGTAACATCATGAAATAACATTAAATAAAGATATTAATAAAGACATTTTAAAATGTAAAATTGAAGGAAATATGTAACTAATACCCTAATACCCTTCCTTTTCAGTTTTCTTTTGGACACCCTTTATTTTTCACAAAATTATAAATGGCAATCAACATTGGGTTTATTTGAAATGAAATGAAAAAATGATAGGTTAAAGTCCAAATGAAAACTTTGAAAAAGTTTTGATATCGTTATCCTTCATACTGCAATGGAACCCAGAGCTCAGATCAATTTACAGAATTAAAAATTGTTAAAACGAACTAAGGTTATGGTGGAAATACGTTTTTTTCACATCTAAATTATACAAAGTAACTAAAAAGGTGTTTTACCACTACTAGGTCGATTTTAAACAATTGTCAATTCTGTCAATTCTGTCAATTCAGAGTTTCAAGACAGAAAATAAAAAAAATAACAAGCTTATTCTTACCACTGTTAGAATAATTTCATAATTAACTGCTTCTTCAACCATTCCAACTAGAACAATCATATTGTTAACTAAGCGCATTATTGCAAATGGTTTGAAAGGAAAATAAAAGAAAAGTTTAGTTTGAAAGTTTAGAAGTTAACTCATTATCGAACAACAATTATCTCAAGAGATGAGTAGAAAATGACCTCTCTGATAAAGACCTGCAAAAAATCTTGCAACAAATCTAGAGTCTTGCCCTTAATGAAGAAATTAAATGTTAAAAATGTATACTAAATAACTACCTGGGACAGAATAAATTTCTTCCTCCATGGGTTCGGGAGAAGGTTCCTTGGCAGGTTCAGGGGTTGGTTCCTTGACAGGTTCCGGGGTTGGTTCCCTTGCTGGTTCCGGAGTTGAATTTAAATTTAAATTAAATTGAAATTAATTCTTTTCCTCATTTAATATCCTTTACTTTCTCTAAAATCATTTATTTTCACTTGAAATTACTTATTTTTCCCTTGAAACAAATTTTTTCATATCTTCATATCATTTATTATCGAATCCCATAAAATATATTAATTCTAACCTTAAAATTACACATGCCACCCTTAAATTATTGAAATCATTAATTTTCCTTCTAGTAACACTTATTTTAACTCAAAGTCATTTGATTCTCCCTTAAAATCCTTTATTTGCCCCATTTAACAATATTAAAAACCCTGAGAGAGGGCGGGGGGGGATATCTTCACACAAAATGTATACCCCTGAATATTATACCTGAGGTTCTGGTGTCTGCTCCCGCTGAAATCTTGGAGCTTCCTCGTCATGTAGTTCAGGGGCAGAGCTAGTTGGGGCGGGCACTGCAGGTGCAACCACAGCAGGATGCACTTTAGGGGGACCAAACTGCAGGGACAGTTTTGGACAGGGGGTTTCTTCCTCCATGGGTTCGGGAGAAGATTCCTTGGCAGGTTCAGGGGTTGGTTCCTTGACAGGTTCAGGGGTTGGTTCCCTTGCTGGTTCCGGAGTTGGTTCCCTTGCTGGTTCCGGTGTAGGTTCCCTTGCAGGTTCGGGAGTAGGTTCCTTAGTTGGTTCTCTAGGGGGTTCCGGGATTGGTTCCCTTACTGGTTCAGGTGTTAGGTCTCGCATCGGCTCCGGTGATGGTTCTTTTACTGGTTCTGGTGAAGGAACTTTGGCAGGTTCCGGTGTAGGGTCTCTAGTAGATTCTTCAGTTGGTTCCAAGAATGGTTCCTTGGATTGTTCCGGGGAAGGTTCCAAGGAAGGTTCCTTGGATTGTTCCGGAGTAGGTTCCTCAGACTGATCTGGAGTTTCCTCTGTTTGAGCAACTTTTTCCTTGAAATAACCATTTTTAATAGATCTCATAATGGGATGAGCTTAGGCGAAAACTTAAGGGTGGCCAAAACTTTTTTGAAAAAATCCGTACAAAAATTCGTACATTTTCCGAAAAAACCGTACAATCCGTACAATTTTTGAAAAAAATCCGTACAATCCGTACAATTTTCGAAAACAAAATCCGTATAATCCGTACATTTTGTGAACAAATCCGTACATTTTTTTTAAAAATCCGTACAATCAGTAAAATTTTCGAAAAAAATCCCTACAATTCGTACATTTAAGAAAATTAAAAACCATTTTTGAAAATATTATTCAACACTGTCTCATTCACCACCATCTCTTAACTCCCCCCACCCTTTCCTCCCCTCCCCTCAGCAACCAATGATGTTCCCTCTAACAACCTATATTTCTGGTAGTAAAAACTACTGTAGGTATTTGAATGCTTGGATGAGAACCCAGAAATAATGAAAAAATAAGATCAACTAAAGGAACTCAATTTTAAAATCCTTTTATCTTTCCAACCTGAAAACCTTTGGTTTTTTAAACGAAGCCTAATTAATCTGGCAGAATTCACAGCTTATAATAAGTCTACCACATAAGGTTGCAAAGATATAAAACTTAAACATTACTATTAAACACTATAGAGCTGGAGAACTAGAGAACTAGAGAACTAGAGAACTAGAGAACTAGAGAACAAGAGAACTTAGAACTAGAGAAATAGAGAACTAGAGAGCTAGAGAACCAGAGAACTAATTGTAAATTTAGGATCTAATATAATTAAAATCAGCGTGGTGGGAGGTAGTACAGGGGTTGAACACCCAATTAAAAGAAAGTTGATATTAAACTAAAAATGATAAGATTTACAGATAAACGGAAAAAACCTGATAGGATGTTCTCAGATCTGATAAAGAGACAGATAGATAAACAGACAGACAGATAAATAGACAGAGAAGCAGATAGACACAAACACATAGATAAACAGATAGACAGATACAATATTTAAACAGATAGATAAAAAGATAGATAAACTTACATGCAGATAGATATACAGATGAATAGACAGATAGCTAGACATATAGCTAGACAGATAGCTAGACAGATAGCTAGACAAATAGCTGGACAGATAGCTAAACAGATAGATATACAGATAGATAGACAGATAGATAGACAGATAGCTAGACAGATAGATAAAAATATTCTCAAATGAACACTTCTGGAACATATTCTCAATTGAACACTTCTAGGACATATCTAGAAAATTATGAATGAATTTTGATTGTCAATTGAAACATTACTCAATCTAATATTATTTAGAATGCAGAAAAATAAGTTAAACTAACTTCATTTTGACGAGAATTTTTTTGAAATTTTCATGAAAAATTTGCCGAAATGAGTTAAAATTAAAAAAAAAGATGTATTTCCAGGATAAAAATCCGTACAATCCGTACAATTTTGGGGTTACAAAAAAAATCCGTACAATCCGTACATTTTGACCACCCTGTATCATGTACTGTACATATACCTTGAGTCTAGTATATCCCTGTATCTATGGATCAAAAAACGATCAAAGCTCTACCTGGCTTTGTAGTACCAAAAGTTACCCAAAAAATGAACCCACCAAACAAACACTACCACTGAAGTAAAAAATATAAGTTACCTCATATTTAAAGATTGATTTTCGGTTGACAGTTTTTACAACCTCGTCGTCAATGTACTTGAGAGAAACATCTCCATTGTCGAAAACTCTAAACAAGATTAAATCATAAACAATAAGGCACTTGAATTGTACACAATTCATTTAAAAAAAGACCAAAAATATTCAACATTCAATATTCAATATTCAATAGATAGAACGGGTTCAGAGTTGAGTGAAGAGAAGGATGAATAGGAAGGGTTTAGGGTTAGGGAGAAGAGAAGAATGAATATGACGGGTTCAGGTTTAAGAGAAGAGAAGGATGGATAGAACGGGTTCAGAGTTAAGTGAAGAGAAGGATGAATAGGAAGGGTTTAGGGTTAGGGAGAAGAGAAGAATGATTATTATGGGTTCAAGTTAGAAAGAAGAGAAGGATGGATAGTACAGGTTGAAATATCGAAGTTTTTCATTATTAGGTTGCAAAGATATATGGACGAGAAAAATTGAGTTTGTAGAAACAACTCAATTCTTTTCAATGAAAAAAGTATTGAATATAAGGAGCAATTTTTTAGATAAACACTGGAGTGAGGGGATGATTTCTTAATTTAATTTGTAAAAAAATTGTTTTAAAAAAAATTGAAATGGACGAACAAGTTTGCAAATAAGTTATTTTCAAATTTTCCTTTTACAGAGCGTCCCGCCCATATCAATAGTAAATCAGATCTAAACTAAAGTAATAGAGCTTTTGTCACAATTATGAATTTTCTAATTCCTATATCTTTGAAGCTTAAAGGTGTAAATCTATGATTTTTATAACTTGATTATTTAATCTCACAGAAATTATAGTTTGACATATCAAAGGTCTACATTAAGTTGCAAAGATAAAGTGGTTAGAAAATATGAGTGTAACAAAAACTCTTTTCTTTCTAAAAGTGTGAACGGAATAAGGGAAGAACCTTGTAATTTATGCAAAATAACTATATAAACGTTCCCCTTTTCATGTTTATTATTAAATATATCATTTTTAATTATTGTGGCAAGAAAGATATCATATAAATAACAGTCTATCAATTTTCATTTTCAAACTGTTATTCTGTTGTTGTAATTTCGAAAACCAAAATATTTCGATGCAACACTAAAATATAAAGGTCCTGATAACCTCCATTCAAAAAATTTTAAGGTCCTGACAGCGCAAATTTTACGAAAAGTGGTCCTGACAGCGAAAACTCACTCAGGCGAGGGTTATAAGGACCAATTCAAAACACGTATTCTAAACTTAACCTTAGGGGAAATTTTACCTTAAAATAGTCGCTAAATATTTCGTCTTGTGCCACATGGCCAAAACTGTCTCACCAACTGAATATGTCTGATAACATAAATACCATTATAGTTTTTGAAAATATATATAATGGTTTCTAAACAGAACGTATTACTTCTGAGGAAATTCAGGGTGGCCAAAACTTTTTTGAGAAAATCTGTACAATCCGTACAATTTCGATAGTAGGTTTTCAGACCTGATACTTTTTATCAACAGTAGGTTTTCAGACCTGATACTTTTTATCAACAATAGGTTTTCAGAGCTAATACTTTTTAATCAATAGTAGGTTTTCAGACCTAATACTTTTTATCAACAGTAGGTTTTCAGACCTAATACTTTTTATCAACAGTAGGTTTTCAGACCTAATACTTTTTATCAACAGTAGGTTTTCAGAGCTAATACTTTTTAATCAACAGCAGGTTTTCAGACCTGATACTTTTTATCAACAGTAGGTTTTTAGAGCTGATACTTTTTATCAACAGTAGCTTTTCAGACCTAATACTTTTTATCAATAGTAGGTTTTCAGACCTAATACTTTTTATCAACAGTAGGTTTTCAGAGCTGATACTTTTTAATCAAAAGCAGGTTTTCAGACCTGATACTTTTTAATCGATAGTAGGTTTTCAGACCTAATACTTTTTATCAAAAGTAGGTTTTCAGACCTAATACTTTTTATCAACAGTAGCTTTTCAGACCTAATACTTTATTAGACCTGATACTTTTTTAGCAACAGTAGGTTTTCAGAGCTAATACTTTTTAATCAATAGCAGGTTTTCAGACCTGATACTTTTTCAGCAAAAGTAGTCCGAGCGGCCCTGAACCCCGTGCTCAATTAGCTAGCCTCCTTCTTAACTACACGGCTGGGGTACTAAGTCAAGAAATAGAAATAACAAAGAGCTAATATGTCAAATACTAATCCAGTTTTGTTTCCATTTCACCTAGCAATCGGAGCCCTTTCTGGAAGAGCCCTGTTCCTGCCCCATGAGCAGAGATGATAAAAGGGAAAACTCCGCATTCTGCATGCAGCGGTGCACACTAAATGCAATACTTCCTAAGGAATTCAACTGGAGTATAATATGTGGACAAATGGAGTGATTTAACGAAACATTCCTAATACGCCACTCCTACAAACCCTTATCTCCACTCTCCTCTACCTAAAATCGAATCTTCTCACAAGCAGCGAAATGAGCCTTAAGGACATTTCCCTGTTTCAATTTATTATCCTTCGTTGAATAGCAACAATCCTTAAACAGGAAAGTAAAAATGTGCGGTTCATAGCAGGGAAGCCTTTACTTCCTCGCTGGAAATAGAAACTAACTTGAAGTGCTGGAAGTGATGACCTAGACAGAATTTTCAGCGCTGAGGATGCAATTACAAGTTAGCAAAACAAAAAAACGGAGAGGGTACATCTACACAATAAAAGAGTCATCGTGTACTGTCGTATAATGGTGCAAAGACAGGGACTCGTAAAGCAGCGCCATTAATGGACAGGGAAAGGGAGGCAAGACGATGAGAAACTGCGGACGTGCAGAGGGAGAAAGGAGAAAAAATATGAACATTTTAAATTATCAGCTATGCCTCGTACCATTTTATTTTACAAAAAATATAAAAAAATTATAAAAACATTGCTAAAAAAGTTGTAACTTTTTGATTAATGGAACTTATCTAATTTGACGCAAGCAAATTATTCTTTATTGTCAAACCCCCGAACTCCTATTATATGAGGTTTTCTTCAACTCTGATTAGTTTTATTGACTTTGAATTTGGCAAGCTCGATGCATCTATAGATATAAAGCAATCTCTTTCATGAGATGGTTTTTGTTCTCCTTTCAAACAGTAGGACAGCTAGAGGGCTCACTTACTGATTGGTAGAGTGGCTCCAAGCTGAGCCTTTGCTTTTTACTTCAATTCATAATATTGACTTATAAGTAAGCTAAGTGTTTTATACATAGTGTTTTATATGAGTAAATCAAGATGTATGTCTGACACGAAGCGCAAAGTTGGTTCACACGCACGAATGATATTACACGAGTCAAGAAACATTTACTTTATTAATAAAAGAAAAGCAAACGAATTATTGATAGATTGATGAATTCTGCACGCAAGCTGGGTAAACAGTCACTTAATCATTGTACTCCTCCTCCTCGTCTCGAACATCATCGTCGACTGTCTATCTTTTCCCTGCAGGTTGACCTGCTTGTCTCCCCCGGGAATCCCTAGCTTTCCGGATTTCCAGGGAATCGTTGGTTGGTAGTCCCGACTCTCCGCGGGCCCCTCTCAGCGTCAGGATAAAAATAACTTAAAGGGACCGTTCACTTATTTGGGTAATTTCAGGGTAAACTAAACAGCCTATTCGCTCTTGATTGGTAATAGTCTTACTTTTCAAAGACAACTGTGGCCGGAGAAAAAGCCGATTTTTCGTTCAGAATTCAAGCGCAAGTCCCTCTCTATAGACACTAATTGATGTTTTTTTTCATTATGTTGTGAATCAAAATAAATTTCGAATATAAAATTAAACTGTAGTATCTAATCGTTAATTGTAAATGTCATTATTTTTTAATTTTTGTTGTTTTTTAACTTTCTATTTCTAAAATAACACTATTTTATCGCATTCAAAATTGTGTATTGCCTGTGTAAAAAGCTGAATTGAACGCGGCATGACAAATGAAAAGTTGTGCACATACGCGAACAAAATCTACAAAATCTACGAACCAAAATATGAGTAATGATTAAGTGATTGTCGTAGAGACGTCGTCTTTGTATACATAATTTACATGTTTTAATACGAAAAACGTAAATTTCTTGCTAACTCAAATATCAAAAGTTTTCATATTTTAGTTCATAATAACGAACACATAATGACATTAAAATATAATAAATTTAAATGTTATTGGGCTGCTGTTACTGAAAAAAAAAACATCAAATAGTGTCTATAGAGAGGGACCGTCCCTTTCTACTCAAATTCTGAACGAAAAGTCGGCTTTTTCTTCGGCATCAGCTGTCTTTGAAAAGTAAGACTATTACCAATCAAGAGCGAATAGGCTGTTTAGTTTACCCTGAAATTACACAAATAAGTGAACGGTCCCTTTAAACTATATACAACAGGAGAATAGGAGTAAATATTTCTCCGCAAACTATTTACACCACCAAAAGATCACACCATAGTCCACTACAATACTTAAATAACCAGGAATTTAATGATTCCTCGATCTAGGGTTGAATAACTCTAGCTAGAGGAGGTAAACTAGTTGCTCCTAGATAAATATCTTGAACCAGGGTTGGATAAATCTAGCTAGAGGAGGTATAATAGTTGCTCCTAGATAAATATCTTGAACTATGGTTGGATAAATCTAGCTAGAGTAGGTATAATAGTTGCTCCTAGATAAATATCTTGAACTAGGGTTGGATAAATCTAGCTAGAGTAGGTATAATAGTTGCTCCTAGAAAAATATCTTGAACTAGGGTTGGATAAATCTAACTAGAAGGCTTTCTATAAGGAATTCAATAGAGTGTAGAAGAAGAGATAGAATAAACTTCAAATTAGATTAACAAGAGAAAATTTATTTTATAGTGAAGGGAATAAGATGAACAGGATTGGTTGTAGGTTTACAAGAAGTTTAGAAGATAAGAAAAGTGAGGGGAGGGGATGGGAGCGGATAGCATGAACAATGAGCAGGGTTGTAGGTTTAGTCCATTCTAAATCTCTTTCCTTAGTTCTAATTTCATTGAATAAGTCTATAATTCATTCTACATTCCTTTTCTTAGTTCTAATTTCATTGAATAAGTCTAAAATCTATTCTTTATTCATTTCCTTAGTTCTAATTTCATTGAATAAGTCTATAATCTATTTTAAATCCCTTTTCTTAGTACTAATTTCATTGAATAAGTCTATAATCCATTCTATATTTATTTCCTTAGTTCTAATTTCATTGAATAAGTCTATAATCCATTCTACATTCCTTTTCTTAGTTCTAATTTCATTGAATAAGTCTATAATCCATTCTACATTCCTTTTCTTAGTTCTAATTTCATTGAATAAGTCTATAATTCATTCTACATTCCTTTTCTTAGTTCTAATTTCATTGAATAAGTCTATAATCCATTCTACATTCCTTTCCTTAGTTCTAATTTCATTGAATTAGTCTATAATTCATTCTACATTCATTTCCTTAGTTCTAATTTCCTTCTACAACCCTTTCCGTAATTCTAATTTCATTGAATAAGTCTTTAATCCATTCTAAACCCCTTTCCTTAGTTATATTTCATTGAATAAGTCTTTAATCCATTTTAAATCCCTTTCCTTAGTTCTAAATTTATTGAATAACTCTATAGCCTGAGACGAAGGTTTTCATGGAGTTCTATGGACCATTGGAAACTCATGCATTAGTAAGTTATTTATTAGAACCCAACCTGGGAAGAGAGAAAAGAAAATGTTCAGAGAACAAGATTTATCATTTAGATATATACAGAGTTTATTTGATATGGTGCACCATAGTTAATGAATCGTTATCATAAACTGATACACCAATAAAATGATACACCGATACACTATACACCAATAGACCGACTCACTAATAAACTGATACACCAATAAAATGATACACCAATACACTATACACCATGATAGGCCAATACACGAATATACCGATACCCCAATAGACTGATACCCCAATATACCGATACCCAAATAGACCGATACCCCAATAGACCAATACCCCAATAGACCAATACCCCAATAGACTGATACACCATGATATACCAATACACGAATAGACCGATACCCCAATAGACCGATACCCCATTAAATCGATACCCCAATTGACCGATACCCCAATAGACCGATACCCCAATAGACCAATACCCCAATAGACCGATACCCCAATAGACCAATACCCCAATAGACCGATACCCCATTAGACCGATACCCCAATAGACCGATACCCCAATAGACCGATACCCTGATAGAACAATACACCATGATAGACCGATTCACCATGATAGACCGATACCCCGATAGACCGATACCCCATTAGACCGATACCCCAATAGACCGATACCCCAATAGACCGATACCCCAATAGACTGATACCCCAATAGACCAATACCCCAATAGACCGATACCTCAATAGACCGTACACCATGATAGACCGATACCCCAATAGACCGATACCCCAATAGACCGATACCCCAATAGACCGATACCCCAATAGAACAATACACCATGATAGACCGATTCACCATGATAGACCGATACCCCGATAGACCGATTCAAGGATAGACCAATACACCATAATAGACCGATACACCATGATAGACCGATATACGAATAGACTGATACACCAATAGACCGATACACCAATAGACCGATACACCAATAAGTAATGTAGTAATAAAATACAATAGAAAGGCACCTAAATATTTAAATATCCCTTGAAATATTTTAAATCGAAGACGTTCAGATTGAATATTTAAAATTCTGAAAACGATTTTGTCTTTTACTTGATCAAGAATAATGAATAATGAGTAATAGAATGAAATTGTTTAGCTGATAATACTTTTCAACTATTTTAGGTAGAAAAATTATCAGATAAGAAGATTTAATTAAGATTTATATATTGCAAAATTTCCGGAACTATACACTCAAATTACAAAAACTTATTTCGATAAAACATCAAGGCATAAATCTTTCATTGAGTCTGGCTGAAAAGTTTTTGACATTTTCCATTTAAATGACAAAAAAACTTATTCACAGGTTCAGATTATTTAATTCTATATTTCTACGCATATTCATTTATCTTGCGGGGTTTCATAATGAACAAATAAAAGAGGTTGTCAACCCAATTTTAAGTGACCTTTATGTTAAAAGATAAATGAGAAATTTGTCTTTGTTTTCTGTTTTAAAATATTGTAAATGTCCTTCTTTATCTATGTTGCATTATAACGCCGGTCATATAAAAGTAAAGTTCAGGGTGTTAGGGTAAGTAACCAGCCTGCTTAAGGTTAATGAACCAGCCTGTTTAGGGTAAATGAACCAGCCTGTTTAGGGTAAATGAACCAGCCTGTTTAGGGTTTATGAACCAGCCTGTTTAAGGTTAATGAACCAGTCTGTTTAGGGTAAATGAACCAGTCTGTTTAGGGTTAATGAACCAGTCTGTTTAGGGTGAATGAGCCAGCCTGTTTAGGGTAAGTGAGTCAGCCTGTTTGGGGTAAATGAACCAGCCTGTTTAGGGAGGTAAATGAACCAGTCTGTTTAGGGTAAATGAACCAGTCTGTTTAGGGTAAGTGAGTCAGCCTGTTTGGGGTGAATGAACCAGCCTGTTTAGGGTAAGTGAACCAGCCTGTTTAGGGTTAATGAACCAGCCTGTTTAGGGTTTATGAACCAGCCTGTTTAGGGTAAGTGAGTCAGTCTGTTTGGGGTAAGTGAGTCAGTCTGTTTGGGGTTAATGAACCAGTCTGTTTAGGGTTAATGAACCCAGCCTGTTTAGGGTAAGTGAGTCAGCCTGTTTGGGGTAAATGAACCAGCCTGTTTAGGGTAAATGAACCAGTCTGTTTAGGGTTAATGAACCAGTCTGTTTAGGGTTAATGAACCAGTCTGTTTAGGGTGAATGAACCAGCCTGTTTAGGGTAAGTGAGTCAGCCTGTTAAGGTTACATGAGCCAGCCTGTTTAGGGTTAATGAACCCGTCTGTTTAGGGTAAATGAACCAGTCTGTTTAGGGTTAATGAACCAGTCTGTTTAGGGTGAATGAATCAGTCTGTTTAGGGTAAATGAACCAGTCTGTTTAAGGTAAATGAACCAGTCTGTTTAGGGTTAATGAACCAGTCTGTTTAGGGTGAATGAACCAGTCTGTTTAGGGTAAATGAACCAG